CCAACATCTTCTGAAAATTTCATGTCATTAGCACCTCTAGTAATATATTTACTGAGAAAAATGTTGACGTGTTCAATACTTATTTTACCCGCTGTAGCTAAGAGGATATTATTAATGAGTTTTTTAGTAACAGTGAAATGTGTACCCTTGTGTGACTTTTCTTAACATTTTATTGAGAACACAGTGAACTCTTTCTTTTTTCCATTTCAACAGATTTTTTGGTGGGGATCTATGCTATTATTTATAATTTGTGAAGATAAATCTAAATTTGCGGGTTAGAGCCACACAGATTAGAACCTGCATAGAAAACTGCAAGTGGTGCATCTTTGGATTCATGTTAATTTTATCTGAATTAAATTAGACTAAACTTTTCTCCAAAGCAGAAAGCAGAAATGCATTTCTGCGAGGGTATGAGACTGCATTGTTAGCCTAAAGTTAGTAACACAATTCTACAGAAAATCCTAGATGTATACTACAGTCATACAGTTTTGGTTTATAAAGATTTCAATAATTGTGTGAAAATGCAACAAATCTATCCAGCTGTGTTGTCAGCGTTGAGCAGATGTGTCTAAAAGCACTAAGACATGGCAAATATATTTATATTTTCTGTAAATCTCATAAAGAGATAAGTTTTTGCTTCAACATTTGGCAAAAATACAAATCGCATACCAGCGATAATATCTAGATAAGCTACCAAACCACAAATATTAAAGATGTTAGCGCAAAATGTTAAAGAGGAAGACATGTATGGTTAAGACATTACATTTCTTCCTCTTATGCAAAACAAAGCTGAGTCAGACAGTCTGCATTACTGCATTCATGTCTGCCAGTGTCAGAAAAACATGTTTTACAAATATAAGACTTAAACTGAAAAGCTAACTTTTTTTTCCTTGCAGAACAATGGGCGTCATCTCAGCTCCTTTTGAATCAGCCTGTAGACTTCAGAGCCCATGTGCTTCCATTAAAACAATACTCTTCATTTAAAAAATTAAAACACGGTAAAGGGATTCAAACAGACAACCATTAATGCACTTTTGCTCTTAACTAGTTCAGCCAAGACAGGAAAGGATGTAGTACCAAGTAAAATATGTTTGAGCTGTTTGACGTGTCACAGAAACTAGGACAGAAAAAAAAACAACCCTGTAATGTTCATATCTGTGCTGACTTCACCCTGTGGGAAAGGCATGATACCATCTTTAACTAACTCCTACTAGACTGCAAAGAGCTTCATGGCCCACTGCTGCACGATGTGACCGATGACAGGAGCTGACTGTGTAACAGGTGCGACAGTGTCGCCTCTTTGAGACATTTTAACTGACAAACTCCAAAAGAAGCCAGAAGGACCAGTTGGCCATGGCCATCCTCTGGGAAATATTGCAGCAAGATTAGATAAAAACAGACTTTACACCCCACTCCTCCCCAGGCTTTTAAATGCCTCATTCTACCTAAACCACCTGAGAACTAAGTGACATTTTCAACACCCTCCTACTATTCTTATTTCTACTAAATCTACTATGATTACCATCATTTTGTGTTGTGACATTCAGAGTTCACTATCAAGTTGTTCCACAATATAATCAAAACATTATTCCCAGTGTTCATATTTATGTTTCAGCTTTGCTACATCTGGAACCAGGGGTCTAACGAAACAATGATCCACATAGATAGATCAGTTAAATGATGCAATTACATCAAGCAAAACAAAAACATTGATCAATTTCGTCATCATATGCCTGATGTCGATTGATATATCGATCGCAGACTTGTGAACTGAATCCAAGGATTTTGTGATAGAAAAACATTGCATCATCATCCAAACAAATCAACAGAATATCGTATTGTGATAAAGTTGGTGATTAATCTATTCAGGAAATTACATGTTAAGGACATTTCACAATCACTATTTAAGATCCAATAAAACAAATTTACAAGTACTTTTGTGCATAAAGGTCATTTAAAAAAACAAGTAGCTGTGACTGTATTTGGGGGCTTGGTGCACATTAGTAATTGTAAAAAGGTCAATGCATACATACACTCATCTGAGAGTCCACGCGTTCACCACCACATATACAGAAGTAATGTATGTCTTTAAAAATATAAACTCCAAAGTCAATTAGGTATTTTTGTTGTTGGGCATACATAAAAGAAAGCAGTCATTAAAAATGTGTTTTTTCCTTCACTGTTATTTGTGCTCATGATGGGATTAGTCATGACTTCTCAGACTGAACACATCCCTCATTTCCTGTAACAGAGAAAATCTGTAAAATGGACCAACACGAACACATTTGAAAGTTTTCACTGAGTTTAATGCCCAGTTTGTGTGTCACACAGTAACTGTACTGCTCACTCACACGCAGCCACAATTGATCGGCTGCCGTTCACCTCCAGCGTTTGTTTTATTTACTGATCGATCCGTTTTGAAGCAGCCGGATGAAGGTCGGTGGGCGGAGGCAACAGAGCTCAGCAGGCCGGGAAACAGACACGTGGTGCTTCTCCATGGCGCTCGGCTCCTTTCTTAAATAAACTAACAAGAAAAGTGCAGCAAAAACAGGCTGACACGGATTGTTCCTTCAGACTTGAATGTGCCCTAACTGACGTGGCGGAGGAACACTACAGCCAGTGAAAAAGAAGGCGAAGAAGAAGGCAGGCAGGCAGGCAGGCAGACTACCGACAGTAACTTCAGTTTATTTCCCTAAAGTGTAATTGTTTTAGCGTGTTAAAGTGACACACACTTAAAACAGCAGCTGCACATAATCACAAACTTACCTCGGCTGCTTTTCTTCCACCTCCTCAGCGGCAAGCGAGCTCACTTTTTAGCTCGAAAAGCAAAACATGCTYATTCTGCCACGTCTAACTCGTCCAGAACCGGGTCAAAGCTGGGCAAGTCGGGTCAAGGCTAAGGTTTACAGCCCGGCAGTGGATGTGATGTGAACAAAGCCGATCAGACGATTTGATTTTGGCCTCCACTTCTACTTTTCCACTCCCGTTCGTCTTCTGCTTCTGGCAACTCTGTCAGGGGGCGGAGCCAGGTATGTGAAGAGGCGGGGGCAGAACTAGAGTGGGGGTGGGGCCAAAGTATTTAACCGGAAATTATGGACAAAACAAACAAACAAACAAAAAATAAATAAATAAACAAAATAATTAATAAATAAATAAACTGATAAAGCAATAAAAGCTATCAAACTTGAAATTTGTCTGAATTTTCTGAAGCATTTTTATGTTTTTATAATAAAGTCTAAATTTAATTATTGTTTGGGGTTATTATAAACTTTAAACTATAACTATATTATAAACTATAAACTATAAGCATGTTACAAAACGGCAAATAGGATATTCCTTGCCTTTTTTTTATTTATAGCAACCAGTTATAGACAATCTACCATTAAGAGTTCAGAATATCTCTTGATCTTAGCTACAAGTTATGCTTTGATGCCCTTCAAGGCTTGATTTTCTCCCCAAAAATTACTCTACTTCTGTTGACTGTCATCCTTGCAGCTTTTTGTCATTGTTTTAGAGGAAGAGAGAACAAAGCTGGCCATTATGCTCAGCTTTGACTCTTTTTACATTAGGAGATTATTTTACCAACGTGCACCGAGAGTGTCCAGATTGTACTCGTCAATGTTTGAACGTAAACAAATTATCTGTAATTGTTGGCAACACAACTCTGCTGATAATGTGCATTTATTACATATTATTCAACAGGTCTTTGGTTCTGAATGATGCGTATTTTATCGCTATAGATGAAAGACCGATCGAGAAATAAATTTAATATTATGCTATTAAATGTAAGATGTTTTGCAGTTTTCTTTTATCTATGACATATTGGAAAACATACTTATATTGCTGTTTGTTTTTTTTTTGTTTTTTTTTTGCTACTGCTTCCTGCAGTATTTACCTTTCTCTCACTAAAACACAAACCACCTATGTAGACGGAAACAAGATGGTTACCTGAAAACACAAAGAACATTTTTTTCTGGCAAAAGCCATCAAATGCYATGACAAAATCAGCTCTCACGAGGTCTGGCCCAAGAAAACCTCGGGTGCAGAGGAAAGGTTCAGTTGGTTGATCAATAATTAATAGCACCTCTCAGCCGTCACATCGCAACATCAGCAGTTTGGAGGATTCAGATGTTTTTAGAGCCTTTGTTGAGAAAATTAAATCAGGCATATTAAGAAAAAAAATGTCCGATATGCTTTAAGAATCTTTGTGAGGTGCAAAGAAATGGAACCAATGRGGCAACGAAACAGTTTCTGAAGTCTTGGTGAGAGAGAAGTCTGATGTAATAGGTACTGTGGCTCCTGACACAGCTGATAATTTATTCAAAATTCTAGACACATCTAGGCGTTGATGATGACCCCAAACACCTCTCTGAGTCTGGAGAGTGTACTCTGATTGCAGCATCAGGAGACCTCACCTTTACAATCAACTGATGAAACAATTTAGCACCATTTCTGCAAAAGAATACAAAAAAATCACCTTCCCAATACTCTTGCTTCCATCTCTTTTTTTACAGCACAAAGATTTCTTAGCATATGTCCTCACTTCCTGCTTGAATAGTTTTCATTTCTACCAACGAAATTATTAACCAGAGATCATATATTTGACTTTCTGTCATTTATTGCCTTATCAGTTATTTATTAACACATTTACTCTGTCTTTATTCAAATGTGTATTAAGACGATGCTCAGCCACAAAAGTCACAAAGATCAATAATTTTCTCAGCATTTGTCTGCTATTTATTTGTTTTACGAGGGGCAATGTTCTGAAATTTTTTTCACCAAAGCTAACTTTAAAGCACTAAAATAACCCTGTCAACACATGAACATTCTTCAACAGACAACATGAGTCACATTTTACCATGTTGCTCTCATCATTGACATTCCACAGCCATATTTGGGTTCATATATTGTTAAATATTGTCACCTGGTGGATAAGTGACACACATATGAACAAAATGTGACAGCTTTCACCCTCAGCTGTTAACAATAATGTTGATCAATAACATTTATCGACCACAGTCAGTGCTTCTAAATTTAGCCTATAAATTTAGCAAATGCTAATCCACTAATACATTCTAAAATTAGCAAAAGCTCTAAAGCACTAATCAGGAAATTAGTTCCCCTATTTGTGCTTTAGTGCTTAAGGGGAACTGTGCCCAATACTGGTTAACCATTTATATTAATGTTACTGTATACTATATGCAGTGCCATTGTAGGGGTTTTGGGTATATTCTAAAATAGATAATTTGTGAATTATTTAAATACGCAAATTATCTTACCTCGAGGCACCACGCTCTTAATTTGATCAAAAACGAACCCAGGAAAGAGACGAAAACCTGTAACTTTATTGCAACCAGTCTCACAATAAATGTACCCAAAATCGTTTGATGAGTTCTTGTCCTTATCAGAACCAATAATACTTTATCAAGACACAAAAGTGAGATTAGTTTATGTTGGCACGTTCTCTACGGGCCATTTAATTACAGATTAAATGTATTTACAGCTATGGTGAGTAAGAATTGATGACATGTTGAACCAGGTAAAACTGACAGAGTTTGCAATCACAAGTGAATAAACAAACAAACAAACAAACAAACAAATAAAATAAACACTGAGAGGTGAGTTTGAGGTTTGGAGTGAGGTGAGGTGATTTTTGCTTTTAGCTGAGGGTTTAACTAAGGGGGTCCTAGTTAAATTAGGGAGAAAAATCGTTTAGTTTACCAAATCTCATACAAAGATAAGAATCAAATTACGTCTGAGCACCTGTGTGTCACCAGGACAAATGTTCACTTTTACCCTTTTGTTCTGCCTTGCGGGCACCAGGAGGGGGAAGTCARCGATTGAAGGTCATCTCTGGTGGTCGTCTCCCAGACTCTTCATGCAAGCTGGATGTCAGGCGGTCTGCCTGTAAAATTCGACTGGTCCCGTGATCAGAGAAGGGGGTCACTCCCTGGTGACAACGTGGTCCGGTCCTCCCCAGGCGGCTGCAAGACTTCTTAATTTGATTTCAACTTTGTGGAGAAAAGGAACTAAAAACGACGCACGAGTTACAATTAGCTTATTTAACTTCTATAAAATCAAACTCAGATGTTGAGTCGATATTAAACGGTGGCTGTTCGTTCAACCCAGCGGGAGATGCAGAAGGGCCACCATCCTGCCCAGCCCATGGGGAGGGGCTGGCAGGCAGGGCCTCTGCTGAGCTTCTGGAAAGCTGTTTCTGACTTCAGATGTTGAAAAACTCTCTTTCTCTGTCTTCTTCTTCTGTCCTTGTCTTCTACTTTGTCTTCTAAGAGATTGGGAGTGCGCTAAGCTTTTTAAAACATCTGTTATGGGTGGAGTCAAGGTTTTAGTTGGCCAATAAAAATGTTACACCTTATACAGGAAAAGTTTTTTAACAAATCAAATCTGTTTTGGCGGGAAAACTTTACTTCAGGACAAAGAAAAAGGGAGTGTTTTAGTTTAATTATCTTGCATCTAATTAAAGGGARAGACATCTGCTTGCCTCAGTAAGGTTAGAGTGTCACACTTAATTATTAAAGATTCAAGTCCTAAAGTTTCTAAGGATTAAATCATGGAATAAAACACACATCTTCTTCAGGAAAACATTTCATCAAAACAATTAACACCACAATACACACAGCTATTGAATAGTTAACTAAGCAAAACTTAGTAGATCCTTTATGGTCTTTTTAGTTCTTTTCTGTAAGAAAAATGGATTAGATGACATTCTTTGCAATAAGACAGAAAACATTAGATACACAGATTCCTTTATATTTTCTCCTTTTTCACATCTAATGAAGAATGTACAGTAGGTCCTTTGTTCTCAGTCACGCCGAAGAGTCTGGTTAAAGGCATTTATGATCCCTTTGAAGAGGAACCAACAGACAGTCCTGCGCTTATGGGGGATGGAAGCAACAGAACTTGTGGGGTTCGGAACAGGAATGTGGCAATTCTTATCTATTAAGAGTAAGGCGTCAGGACGTCTGGTGGGGGTTTGTGTAAGAGATGTTAATTCGAGCCACAAAGGAAGTTCCATGCAAAAGTCTTTAGAAAATAGTCTGAAGTCAAAGTGGAGGTTTTTCTTCCTTCCTGAGCGTTGTCATAGGAACAAGTGAAATCTAATCAGAAATGATTATTTATATGCAGGAAAATGCTACATCATTTATATGATAAATGATGATGATGATGATAATGATGATGATGATAATGATGATGATGATGATGATGATGATGATGATGATGATGATGATGATGATGATGATGAAAATACAACCTGTTGAACCTTCAACCTCACCTCTCAGGTGATGAAAGTTCTGGATCTTTTACAGCAGGATCCTCTCAAGGAGAGACTAGGGGTTAAAGACGCTGTCCTCTGCCTTCTCCATACACCTACCTGGACACAGGCAGTGCAGATATAAACATGATTCTCTGGGAGAATCATTCTACTGCCAAGTGAGGGTTAACAAATATCATCCCGTCTCAATTCTCAATGTTGTCAGCAAATTGATTGAGAAAACAGTCTATGAGCAACTCAACCAATATCTCACAGATCACAAACTTTTATATGAGCTCCAGCAGGTTTCAGACCCTCTCACACAGACACATGCTTACCTCCACTGATACCTCCACTGATTTTATTAAGTCAGAGTAAGATAAAGGCAACTTCACAGGTATGGTCCTTCTCGGAAGCCCTGGGGCTCCAGAAACCAGCTGTAAACTGGTACAGACAGTATGTAGAAACTGGTGGCGTAACATCCACTACAACAAAAGTGCTTTGCGGAGTCCYACAGGGTTCCATTCTTGGACAATTACTATTCCTCATATATGATAACGACATGTCTGCTGCTGTAAACTGCAAGCTCCTATTATATGCAGACGACTCAGCTCTCCTCGCAGCTGGTAAAGACACCTTAGAAATTCAGCAATGCCTATCAGAACTTCACTCTATCCACAAATGGCTTACAGACAAGCTATCTTTTCATCTTGGAAAGACAGAAACAATCCTTTTTGGATCCAAAAGAAGGCTCAGTGGTAAAGATCCACTGGACGTTAAATTTGATGGCCACCCCCTCTTMTGCAAACCAAGTGTTAAATACTTAGTTGTGGTACTGGCTGAAACACTCTCAGGCAGTCAAATAGCTGCACTGTCATCAGAAAATCTAATGCCAAACTTAAGTTTCTCTACAGGCAGACAAGACAATTCAACATTTCAAACCCCACACCCCCCCTCCAAAAAAAAAAAGAGCTAATCTCTTCTCTCATACAAAGTCATTTTGACTATGCATGTGCCTCATGGAATTCAGGCCTTCCCTAAAAAACTGAAAACTCAGCTTACAGACTTCACAAAATAAAATCCTCCGGTACTGCCAATCCTCATACACATATAGGTAACTTTGAGTTTGATCAGGTTCAATTACTTCCAGTTCACCTCCGAGTAAAACAACTGAAGTTAAATCACATTCATAATATCCTGTACGGTAAAGCTCCTTCCTATGTTAAGGCCCTGGTCACTGTAAATGAAAAGCGCCACAACACCCGATCTGGCCCACTGTCTCTGTAGTTATCCCTACCTCAAAATCTTTAGGTCAGACTTCTTTCTGCTATTCTGGAGCCAAAGCATGGAATGATTATTATTATTATGATGCTAAACGGTGTATTGACTCAGTCAAGAGAATTAAAGGTAAAAGATCTTCTACTCAACAGTCTTCATGAAGAGGAGTTAAATTCTAAATGCCCTCAAACTCATAAACTCGTCTTTTCATATTCTTATCTATTCTGTCGTACCAGCATACCTTTCTGACTGTAAGAAACTTTTTTCCCCCCCCTCTCCATCATTGTAGCCTACCTCGCTTCTTATCATTGTGTCTCTATTCTCATAAAACTCTGTCACTCAATTTTTGGACCACAATGGAAACAAGTGATTCTCACTTTCTTGTGTTATCTAGAAAGTACTAAAAGTAGTACTAATAATGAATGTACTCGATGTGTATGTACATGCAATATTACTGCTAAATAAAATCAATCAATGAGGGAAGCACGTGGGCGCGCGTCACGTGACCACCAGCACGTCGGACAGCAGCTCCATCCTGCTGCCTCTCCTCCACCTCCACCCACCACAACAGATGGAGCGCATCTCCGATCAGCTGAAGCGGGGACAACTGCACAACTGTGAGGAAGGGTTCAGCTCCGAGTTTTTGGACCCGTCGCACCTCCGCATCTCGGGGAATGGAGACAGAGAGGACTGTCCTGCTGGTTCCCGGAAGTCTGGAAAAAATGAGATGAGGATGTTTTTTTTATTTATGTATTTATTTATCTATCGGCTCAGGAATATCGCTGTTCTTTCCGGTTTGTGGCGCAGAGGTGGTCAGAAACAAAAGTGGTTCAATAGAAACATGAAAATATACAAGTTTTTTTTTTTTTTTTTTTGGAAGCTGTTTCTGGGGTGCATGTGTGAAACAAAGCCCTTTCAATCTAAGCCACAAAAGAACCAGATTTTTTCATTAAATTAAAGAATAATAATAGAAATCATAAATGATTTAGTTCCTTTAAAACTGCACCTCCGTCAGACTCTGATTTTCCCAAGGAGGTTATATAGAACATGTTTATAATAATACAAAAAACATAATTGTTCTTATCCAAGTCTTTGGATTTTCCACATCAGGCAGAAAACCTTGGACAGCTCCTCTTTGTTTTCTCTTGGACAGCTTCTGGTGGATACCTGTTTTCTGTCTTCTAGTTTTTTTATTCTGAACCTCCACAGAAAATGCCTGCATGCATAAAAAATACTAATCCTTCCCCATTGGTCGGACAGCAGTGCACATGCTATAACAACAGGATATGCAAAGAGCTGTGGGCTGATCTGACAGCCTATCATATTTCAAGCATGCTTCTCTACCAAGATTTGTATTTTTTTTAACCAAATGTGCTCTGTCTGCTTGTATCAAAAGGTTTAAATGACTGAGAATAACAGTGGTGATAATAATGATGACTATGTGATAAAGAAGGAGCAAACAGAGCCAAGCTGAGGGTTTCTTTGTCTCCAGCATGCCTGTGTAATAAAGCAGCTTGAAGCATGTTCAAGTATCGGATCCAGATGTTGTTCAATGAGGTGCTGCTGCTGATGCGCTCCGATCCGAGCAGGAGGGCTGACCCGGGCTCCAGCACGCACATCAGGATGAGGGGCTTTGCCATCGGAGGCTGCGGTTGGCCGCAGATGAGCTGCTCTCATCAGGCTGGCGGTGAGGACGAGGAGGACGATCACGGGTCCAAAGCCCGGCCGCGCTCTCTGGCTGTTGAGGAGAAAGAAGGAGCCAAAGCCCAGGATGGGGCTCTGGACGCAGGTTCCCCACGGAGTCTCTGTGAGAGCGGGACGCGGACGCCGCAGTGCCGGATCTGCTTCCAGGGGCCAGAGAAGGTGAAGTTCTTGTGTGCATGAGCAGGAAGGGGAGCAGGTCTTTGTTTGAGTGAGTTCCTTCTGTAGTCAGTGGTTAGTTCATGGAGCCGTCAGCAGGACAGATGGTTCTTGGTTAGAAACCTCAAACTAACAGAAAGAACACTGGAGCGAGCTGAAGAGCTCTTGGGAACCCAGGCAGTCAGGGGAACGTTTGGACTAAAACAAAAATAAAACACATAGTGTTCCTGGAAGGAGTAGATGCTGCGTTTATGTCAGAGTTTAAATCTTATGTTGAGAAAGCTGTTTTGCAAGACGTCACAAAACGAACTGCTAACAACAAATGAATTGCTTTAATTGTCCATTAAGATAAGTGTATTGATTTACTGGTTTGTTTGTTTGTTTACATAGTTGCTGGTCCCACAGAGCTTTAAGGTTTTTATCTGTGTGTATTCATTTGTTTGAACCAAACACAAAAATAGATACACTGCAGTGAATTTCACTCAACTCATCTTCATTGTGGTAGTAGCTGAGAGTCATTCACAAAACATATTCCAAGCCCTGACAGATGTGGCAACGTCTCATGAGATTGTGCATTAGGTTGTCTTCAAGGTTGAAATATTACTCTACCTGTATCATGGAACTAATCTGATCAGATTTCAGAGTAAAGTTTTGGAGTGCCTGAGATTTAACTGAGAATCAGACGTGATCTAAAAATATCAAGGAGTAACAAAGGGCGCCGGTTAAGAATAGTCTGAGGAGAAGACGCCGCTTTGTGTTTACTCTGATGTGGAGAAATACAGTTTGTAGAAAACGAACCGTTTGGCTGACTGAAGGAGGCATGAGTGGAGTAACAGTGGGAACCAATAAAACATTAATGCTTTTTGCATTTCTGTCCACAATGTGCTGACCTGAGGGAGCAAAGGCTGAACAGGCTCTGCTGCTGGTCTCTGAAAGTTTTCCTTTTACCTCCTGATAAAGAGCTCGCTAGTTGGTTATAATCAAACAGAAAACACATCAGGGGGCTCGTTGACAGATGAAATCTGCAGCAGATGATCTTTGCACAGCACAAGACATGCAAACCGTCACACATATTAAACAGAAAACATATTGATGGTGTATTAGAGAGTTTTAATGTTTCCAGCTGAGGAGGAATCCTTTTCATTTGATTGGGAAGAGTAACAGGAAGTTTCAAAATAAAAGCTCAGTTTCCCTTTATGTTTATTTACTGTATCCCTCACAGTACTTTATCGTATCTGATCATTTCTAACACAACTAGAAACAATTACATGTAGGATAAAGTCCAACATGTTTAAGGTCCAGAAGCTGGTCCAGGATTAATTGACTGCAGGGAAGTTTCATAATATGTTTTTGGGCCTGTTTTATTACCAATAAAAGGTTCAAAAGTCCTCACCAAATAATGAGAATGAATTACGTGCAGAGAATGTCCTGAAAAAGAAAAGAAGAGACCATCAAGACACATTTCTGATATCCAAATTCAGGAGTTTTAGAAGATCAGATGACTGAGCCGGTATTTTCAAGGTCTGATCTTGGAAAAATCTCATACAAAACAAGCTCGGAGTACGTGTTGTGAAAGACTCTCACATTACTACCACAGCTTTAGCTCAATATACTGTATGTAAAACTGACTGAGTTATTCCATTTATGGTTTGTGGAGATAAAATATTTTATTAACAGGCAGGCACTTAAATGTGCAAAAACATTATTGTCCACCTTCCCTTTTCAGTGGCGGGCGATAAAAAAAACAAACGTGATGAGAAAAACCCTTTAACACTGTGGGCTGACAGAGAAGTGTGTGTGTGTGTGTGTGTGTGTGTGTGTGTGTGTGTGTGTGTGTGTGTGTGTG